TCGCTGGACTTGCTTAGACTAGGCGTTCGTTACTTGCCGCTCCTTCCTTAATGTCGTACCGGAAACGAGTCTACGGGCCTCACAGTCGGGAAAAGGCGGGCAAAGGCGTCTCAACGCGACAAAAATACGCCAGCAACCACACAAGCGGACTGTGCGGGGTCTGCGCAGCCATTATTGTCGACTAAGGCCAGCCAACCTGACGACGTACTAGGCAGGCGGCTCGAGCAGAGATGAAGAAAGGATGTCTCTATGGTCGAAGCAGGCGTTATTCGATGCTCCAGTGGTGCGAAAACCAAACAGAATGAGAAGATTCGGATTGCGGAAGTTTGTAAGGGTAGCAGCTTGGATCAGAGCACAACCTCTCAGCTGGCTGGGCCACGCAGTTGTTGATCGTTTTTCCTTCTCTCTCGCTTATTCAATGGCGTCGCGAGCGTCGGTCGCAGATTGTAAAAGTGTTGCAATCGTCATTGCCGCGGGCGAGTAACCTACACACGGACAAGGCGTCCCTTCAGTTTGCGCATTTAACCTCCTTGTTGATTTCTCGAAGGCACGATAGTATCCGGGCTAAAAAAGCCAGTTCCGGGGATTCGGGGTGCGAGTGCGAGGAGGTGCAGAACAAGAGAGAGGGACAGATACAGCACTATTGCTAAGAAAGCCCGACACAACGACCTAGAAAGTTAGATAGCAAAGGGGAGATTGTAGACAACACACCAATGTCGTCCCATATTTGCCGCAGTCTGGGCGCCACAATGGGAGGGCGGCCCATGCCCACACAGGAAGCAACCCGACAGAGGTGGTATTTTCTACACTGTAGTTGTCGCGTTGTACTTATGCGATAACAAATCATGGCGCAAAGGAAGGTGAACGGGCGCCTGGGGAAGAGCGAGCTGTGGGGGTAAAAAGTGGAAAGGAAAAAATCGCACAATCTGTAAGTACAGAAAGACGGGAACACAGAGAGAGAGAATAGCATCGTTTCTCTGCGAAGCTGTACGTCAGAAACGTGTAGTACAATCGTAGGACATTGATTGTAGACAACCCTACAGAGAAAAATACTTAGCAATAGACGTGGACGATGGAGGAGGAAAAGCAAAGGTAGGAAGGACGAAGTGATACGAAATCGAGAGCAGAAAAATAAGAGAAGAGTTTCGCACATTTATATTATTATTATTGCTACTATAGGTGCACGGGGACACTCTGGAGCGTATGCCTCGGGCCCATAGAGATAGGATAGATTACTTACGATTCGATGAGCACATTGTATATTTTGCTCTCTTAGATCTGAGTGCGTAAAGAGGCTTAAGCTCTATGTTGAGCTCTTAGCCACGCAATGCCACGTATTAATTGAAATTTAAATAGAAAAAAATGTAATTTCTTGAGTCCGTTTCGAGACGTCGTTCAAGAAGCTGAACAGCTCAAAAATGAAAGAGTTACTTCGGCAAGAAGTAAACAATTAATTATCTGTATATTTTCGGTTTATGCGATACAAAATCAGAATTGAAGTTTCTCTTTCAAAGAGCTGAAGTTTTTTTACCACCAATACGTCTACTAAAACCTGCCTCCCGTAGGGCTACTTTGAAACTTAAACGATGGATCGGGAGATGGCCGTACAGTGGCTTAGAAAGTTAGTGAACGTGTCTTATACGACAGAAGACTTCCTTCGCTTTTGGCAGTGTATCTCGAATTCAGGATTCAAATAACTTTCTCCTGATTATGACATAATTTTGTAGTAATTTCGCTGCCCCAGCCCCCTTGGCTTATCAGACGTTGCGGGACATGGTACATAGAAAGCATCTCCATTGGACGGATGTTGAAATCTGTTTGATATTTAGAGGCCTCTAGGTACACAGGACAGGCAAATCGTCTTCAAAGACTGATCATTTGCGAATAAAAATGTCAGTAACCTTTAAATGAGTTACGAAAACTTGTTCTATCAATAAATTGGCCGCTATTGTTATCTTTTAGTTAATAAACGGTTGCTGCTGTAAACAGTGTTGGTAATACCAATCTTTGATTATACGTAGGTATCGATTTTTCATACAGATTTAGTTTAAAAACTGGCTTAAATGTGTGTTTACCTTAAGCTAAACCGAGAAACTCACAATTGCCAGCTCCATCAAGACACGTTGTTAGCATTTGACATTTCGATCCACCGTCACCAAAGGCCCGTCTCGCCATCTGCCTCCTTATCAACAGAAGCCGCAAGTAACGCGATCAGAAATCCAGTTGAAAATGCCTTCTATACCTCGTTCTCAATTTCCTAAGTTTCCGCCGTTCCCCTACTAAGTTGGACGGCTCTGTCCCGGGGACCACCATCTGCGTGCAGATCTCGGAATACTACCGCTTACCGATTGAGCTTTTTTCCTCAACGGCCTCAATCAGATTCGTAGCTTCTGTTGCCAAAGGACGAGGAAAAATTCTTTACAACCGCTGCTCACCTTTCCTTTCTACCTGCACGATCACAATCTACAGCTTCGCCTGGCCTGCTGTTGAAATTATGCCATCTCGGACCGTACCGTCGTCGAATCCTGTTGTGGTTTGTGTCGTGTCCTTTTTTAGGAGAGCAAGAAAGGAGGATAGCGCGGGAACAAAGAAAAGAACCTCCTCTTTAGCTTGTCTTTTATCTGCTTTATGTTCTTCTTTGCTATTGAACAGCAACAGCGGTTTTCCGGAAATAGTGAACCTTAGTTCGGCCTAGCCATAATGGACTTGCAGTCGACCATTTAGTGTATATACATATATATATATATATATATATATGTGTGTGTGTATTTACGGGAGAGCATTTTTTGTGTGGTTGTTATGGTCTACGGCTTCTCTATCTGCGGTAAAATATGTTGGCGAGAGCTAGATCTGACGAAAGTGAGATACTGTGTTGTGACGTAATATATATAGATATATGTATTGTAAAGGGGGGCAACAAAACGATTGTTAAAACAGTTGAATGACAGTTGTTTTAAAAGTAGCTACTGCAGGAAAGTTAAAGGAAGCGAACATCGGGACATTAATAGACGTGTTAGATATATGGATCTCTGTCAGTTCTTATCAAAAGATCGATTTAAATCACCATTTGCATGCCATTTTCATAGGGAACTTGCACGAAATTAAGTCATGCTCGATGTTGGCTATTAGATAAACTATCTAATTCAATTGTATGTACATTTCGGCTTGGTGTATTTGTTTGTCAGGAACTGCTACATTATAATCTGATTTGTTTCAAAATCAATATGCTTTGCTCTGGTCCTCGTTTACGCAGGCATGAAGAAACACTCGTGCTTTCCGGTGAATGCTCAAACACTTAATATACCCAGTTCCCAGACGGCAGATTGCCTAAAGGTTTCGGAATTGCATGAATGGAAGTATCTGAGCTCTGTATCAGCGAACCTGAACGCACCCACAATCAGAGAGTAATTTCAACGTAGTTAACTCAGGATTTCATAATAAAGAAACGTGTTAATTTAGCATAACGCAAGCCATAGTTGAGCGTCTCACTCGCTTATCTATCAAGGCGTTTACCTGTTATTTTATAAAATACAATGCGTCATATGTGCTATATATGAATGTTTTATGCCGCGTCTATAATTACTCATGTGCGCGAAACCGACAACCAGAATTAACTTTGAATTTTCGCTCCTGCTAATTAAAATGCCATTTTGAGCGTTAATATGAAAGAAGACGGACGGTCGTCCATGATGTAGAAGGCTTCGGATCACAGTGCGTTCTCAGTTGCCGCAGCCACTTGATTGTTACACTCGTGTTGCTGTAGTTCGGTAACGAGCAGTTGGGAAGAAGTTGCGTTTAGACAGTTAAAACATTGATTGAATGACCTATTGTTCGCTAATTTACTTATATCTCCTTAAAATTGTAGTTAGCTTAGCCATTATGAGTTAGCCATTGTCGATTAATCCTAATTGTTAAGGGAAAGTGGAGAATTAGGACAGTCAAAAAGTTCTAGTACTCGAGTCACTGAAAACGAAGTGTACGACACGATCTGGGGAATTTCGATGAGCGAAAACTCGCTGGCTTTGATCCCGCAAGAAAAGAAAAATTGTCTTTTTCGAAATTTTCGGTGAACTTCCAGGGTCTGTTTTCACCACACGCCTCACCATTATCCAAAGTATGTATAGGAAACTAGGCTGAACTGGTCCTTGGTTCCTTTTCCATGTTTTATATCTTGTGACGGTGGATATTCATACATACGAATTGGTCATACGAAGCTGCTGTAATTTCTACTAATTGAATCGATAACTTCCTCTTCGTAGGCAGTTAAAGTTGATTTATCGTTATAGTTATACGTTAACGAGGCTAATCACAGTTTTGCTGAACTTTAATTGGTCAAGCATAAAAAACCCTTCGACGTAATTGGCTGTCGAATATTGCTCCCATCAGTTAAGAGCAGATGTTAAGGTATATGTGCCCTTGTGGAGGCTCAATAAAAAAAAGATAAGGTTTGCATGCATACTGAGTTTAACTTTATAGCAATATTAGTGGACTCTCTTTTCAGGTGTTTCGAAATAATTGGTCTTACAGAGTTGGCAAATCCTAAAACCCCGCGCTACAAGGGACTTCAGTCTCATGCTCAGCTTATTCGCTACTTGATTGCAGATAATATTATTTATATTCGTTGTTGTCTTGTTTAGAAACAAGTGTGAATCATCCTTATAACAGCATTTGGGTGAAATCATAAACGAGGTCCTCTACTTGATATCTACTTGTCGCTTGCTAATCGTTCGCCCCCTTCCCCCCCAAGAGCTGCAATGTATGATTAGCCATCACAACCAAACGGGATTCTGTATTATGTCCGTTTACTCTGACACATTAGCGCTCTTTGTGTCTAAAATGTCTGTCTATGCTAAATGCTGGACGAATTTTAAAATTTGCCGCCATACAAGACACTGCGATCCCTGACAGCACAAGGCACAATGTTAACAAAAGGTATCCTAGACCACACAATAAATACAAGAGAGTTGAAGCAGTACGGACATGTTGTGCCCTCAGTTAAGTCAAAACTTCTAGTAATCTCGTTTACTACCAGGCTTAGCGTTTCATTTAGAAATCTGAACGTGCTACTACGCAGTTATTTCTCACAGACCGTAATCATTTACGATGATCTTCCAGAGGTTTCTTTCCACTTTTCTTAATCGCTGATCGTCGAGGCAATTCCAGTATCACCCATACACAGACGAGCTTTCCGAGACGCTTGGAGAGAGTTGGTCATCGCCGACTCGTACATGAACGTAGAGCTTATGGGTGAAACGGGTTGGGCTAAAATCATCAACTCTTAAAGTGACTCTTTTCACTGCCTGTGAGCTCCCCATAAATGGTCTTTCCTTGGTGTTTCGTATTCAGCAGCTCGGCGATTGTCAGCCTGATTCGGGTTTGCCTTTCCTATGACCTGGGAACCATATTAGAGACGCTACTTCTCTGTGCATCTAATCATGACCACGAATCTGGTGTGTAATCTGTGTATCGCATTTATCAAGTATTCAAAGTAATCTATACAAATCTGATTGACAAATCGATGGTGTTAACTGGGAGCCCCACTGCGAATGTCTGTGAACATCAGTTGCTACTGTTTCGTAGATATAACGACGAGGAACATTGAGTTCTCTGGTTACCTTCGCTGTAACTAAATCGTGCGTTATCATCTTTCAATAGTTTAAGAATATACGACAAGAGGTTAGTATGACGCAACTGTATGTGAATAATATTGTTTCTATTGGGTGGGGTTCTTGAAACCCTCGACCCAAAAGAGAACCCACATGTCCCGTGATTGTAGTATATGTCGAATATAATTGCATACATTTAATTTAAACCCACTAAACTTTAATTCATTCCAGTTATCTTGCCGCATTGCAATTCCTTAGATAATCAGGTCTATCGCTGGGTACGAAGTTCCAATGAACTGCCTATAAGTTCAGCTAGATTAAAAACATATTCCCCTGCCACAATTTTCATATCTGCGATCTACTTATTTTTAGATAGATACAGTTCAAACAATATACATACGTGCAATGAAAGTGTTATTTTTTAGGGGGAATAATTATCTGTATCAGTTGCACAATGCTACCGTAACTGCATATAAGGTTAAGGGATCTGGCTGGTAGATGAGTCAGCCCTAGCACAGAAAACCATAATATCTGAGGATTTGTCGATAAAGAATGCGAGCAAAGCGCTTCGTTAACTTCAATGCATGACCTTCCTCGTTTTGGTCGAGACAACGAGATAATTAGGGCCGACGTCGCTGCCTGACAGATGGTAAAAAACCTCGAGCGCAATTTTAGTCTACTCATCTGACACGTCAAGTTTATCTATATAGGCGTATATGTAGAAACTTATATACAGAAACACTGACAGGTGTTCGTTTTTCCTAGTGAACGTTACTAAGCGACCTTATGGGAGTCAAATTGCTTGTCGTGGTTGATAGTGCTTAACCTTAAGCTAAGGGTTTCGGCTAAAATTCTATCTACTGTACACTTCTACGATCACATAGCCTGTATATATATATATATATATATATATTTGTTTAGCCGGTGGAAATAAAGCGCCCTTAAATAGCATGACACCCTTTAATAATAACAAGTACCTAAACATTAGGTTAACAATGCAAATTCCCGCGCTCAGTAATCCACCACTTCTCTGTGGCCTCGAATAAATTTTATTTTTTCAAAATTTTATACAATTAACATCAACTATAGAATTTCGATATAAATAAAAATTGCGATCGCGCATCATTGAGGCCCCATTGAGTCAGCGGCGATGAGGTAGAGCGTCGGAAGCAAGCCTACCTTAAGAAGTTGCTTGGCGACGAATAGGCGGAGAATTAATTCAGTTTTTACACAACTATTGAAAAACGAGCGCTCTGCAGCTGAAGAACGTATTAGGATTACATATGCTTTCTTTATAGTTAGAACTCTTATTAGTTACGAAATTACTAATATAATAATATATATATAATTAGTCCAACTATAATAATAACAGTAGTAATAACAATAATTGTTGTTGAAATTGTATGTATTCACAGAAAAGCATACGGCTTTCATAAAATTTCATATGATAATGCTAAATGGTTATGGTTAAGATAGTGGTAAATTAACGAAACACTTGTATAAAATAGGTCATATATATGTGACACTAACCCACTAGCTCTCGTTGGTGCAGTAATCGATCTAAGCTGGCAGTCTCTTCAGTACAATACAGTTAGGTGTCTGCAAATAGGTCTCGAACCTGGGTCATTTCACGGATTCCCTTCGCGAGTTCCGTGTTCGATGTCGCCGCTCGACTACATCATACAGCTAGCTCCTAGCACGAAACGCAACGGAATCTGCCTGTTCGCCTGATGCCCGTTGGGATTCGAACCTAAGCCACAACGTTCCCAAGGGTCCATTAAGCTACCACGTGATACGCTCTAATCTAAAGAGGATAAAACTCTGTAGTGAACGAATGGTCCACAATAAGATCGTGAAATATATTATCGTGAATTTCAATCCTATTTGCGGTAACTAGTTGATTTTTGTGCTATTATGAAATCAGTGTTTGTTTTAAATGATCTTGGTTAGAATAGTCTATTATAGTAGTCTCAAAAGAAGGATCGGAAATCTGCGCCTTGGACTGACTGGCTAAAACGTGGCAGCGTTGTCCATGGGCGTTAATAGGGAAAGGAGCGTGTACGGTGCAGCCTGTAGCTACCTCATCATGCGTGTGCAGGTTCTCGGTGTAGCTTTCTGATGTCAACAATGAACAACACTTCTACTGGACCGCATGTTTTTAATGCCGAGCCTTTTTGGTCAGACCAGCTCTGCTTACAAAAATTTTGAGAACTTATATTGCCGCATATATATATAAACAAACATTTTTCGCTTTATATATATATATATATATAGATGAGATAACGCACTAGGAAAAAGTAACAGATGCGCTGAAGTTATGGGCATCTGCACCAACTTGAATTGTTGTCGGTATTAGTCCAAACCTAAGCAAAGTTTAATAAGAAAAATTTCTAATAGCGAGACTGTAAATTGCTTCGAAGGAAGTTAATGAGGGCAATGTTCGTTAATATATGTACAAACCCTGAACGTTTAAAGAGTTGAAACTTTTTTGTCTATAGAGCTTTTGGGGGGCGAAACAGTTTCTGATGTGCGGCGAGATGTTTAAATATAGTTTATACTCGACTGGAAAGTAAATTATTGCCCTATGCGTTTGGCAACATAAGAGCATAGACACGTATCTAATAATTAGATCAGCTTTAATTTAATCTAAATAGATACATTTTAAGAAACGGGTTTTTACCTTTGAGACTTGCCCCATGCAAATCATGACACCAATAAACAAAAACTGATTATTCACTTTGCATGAATATATGCCTCGCTCCCTTTACGGCAAATACTGAGCGGAAGGACTTTCGTCCTTACTTGTTGATTTTTCTCAGTGAATTGCTGTCAGTATGGAAAAGAGTGACCCTTGACTGGTGCGATGGACGTCTCAGTTAATCTCAGCCAGACCCCCGTGCCACCGTCATTTTACTACGTGTCTCTGACGGCTGTCACTAGCAGGGTCTTGGCGATCGGTGGTTTTTGTGCGTAAATCAAACCCAGCCTGTTACGTTACGCCGTTGAGGCGAGATCATTCAGTCGCTTGTAGTGGCAGCCACTAGTCGAATGTGAGTTGGCCTACCTGACAGATAATCTTCCATTCTTTATCGTGAACAGCATCCGCAGCAAGACCCACCAGAGGGAGGCACGATGCTATCTCTGTAGTGAGCGGCAGGTTGATGCCAAGAATCACGTCTTTTATCGCTGCCGAGGTCGGTGCTGGCGCAGGCGCTGGCTGGACCTGGTTAAATGACCGGCAAAATGTGCCTAGTGGGCGGGAGGGGGGCAACAGTAAAACGGGAAACGTGCAGAGTGGGCCAATTGCATCTCTCTTTTAACGCTATTAGGGCCGGCTGTCCTTATAGGGGAAAGAGCTAACCTTGTATAACATCATTCATATGTTTGACACCGCGCAAAAGTTGTTTGTAAGTAAATAACTTATCGTGCCAGTTGAAAGAAAAGCGTCAAAAGGAGCCGTAGCTGCGCCGTTGGACAAGTGTTGCAAGCATGTCGAAATGAAGCCAAACAGGAATTTTAGCATGATCCCACAGATGGAGGCATGTAGATATGGTGAAGTGTCATATTAATCACTGCAGATTCTTCTTAGTCTTTCACTACACAATACGTAACTTACCAGCTCTGTGTCTACGATTTGTCCTGAACAGCGAACCTATCGCTGAGGAACCTATACGAGAATGTGCTTTCAGAAGGCAATGGTTTGATAGTTGAAATTGTGAATTTCTTAGACAAACATATGATCGCTATTCAAGATAGATATTCAAAAAGAACAGGTGAATTAATTTTAATTTGAATTACTTCCTTGGTTTGAACGGGCAATTGATACGATGCTATTGTTTTGTACCGAAAAGCAGTTGTGCCATGACGCTGCAGCAAAATTCAGCATCGAAAGATGAACGATCCCTGCCACCTGGAATACCTTTACCTTCGCTGGATAATAACTCGCGCTTAGCGTCCACAATGCACGAAGCCATCGATGCAAAACGCCACTTCACCCAAAGGGAGTTTCTCATTATGCTGTTCCTGTCAATAGCCTGTCTCACCGAGGGATCGTGCTTCGCTCATATCAGCCCCTTTTATGCTGAAGAAGTAAGTTCGTCAAGCTTTGTTAAAACGTATACATTCAATGATAATCTTCTGTGATCCTTAGATTATCATTTCTTTCATAGCAATGCTTCTAGTCTTCCAAATAGTTAGTTACCTAAATATGGCAGTCTGTGCGTTTTTTGAAAAATAGCGCCATGACAATTGCATTTGTGCTAATTCCACAAATATACTACATAGCCGATTCACTGCTTTCATGTGTGGATCATCACGGTCTTGCCCCCCTCCCGTCGCATTCTATTGTGTACGTCTCAATATCGGTTGGCCAAAAAGGTTCAAGTTTCCAGTTTGAAGGTTAACTGTGGCTGGACCTAATCGCATTGTCACAATGAATCGTCTAAAGCTAAGAAGCGAAAAAAAAAGTAACAGTGGACCTAATTTAGATATAGAAGGAGGGTGACGCCGGCTGGGGACTTCGAGCGTCCTCTTAACATGATAGCCCCACTGCACGGACTTACGAATGACGCTCGAACACAGGAATGGAGCTAAACTACTAGAAAGCTGGCTAGTATTTGTCCTTCAGGCGAGTTCGGCTCGGAAGCGAAACTAATGAAAGTTGTGTCGCTGTACATCCGCTATAAGGTCACATCAGTGCTGTAGCCGAAAGAAATTTCACTTTTCTCAATTTGGCGCCTCATTCCCTACCGATTTCCCTTGCCGACCCCTACTAGGATTTTACACGGCGACAGATATGAAATTGCTGGTATGAGATGCCCAAGGATGTCCTATCAAAGGGCATCTCTTCGCCTTCAAATCATTTTTCGAGTCCGGGCCACGCCGATCCCGAAGGGTCGTAATACTGTGCCACCAAAGATCCTATTCGGTTGTCGGCTGTTACGTATGCCGGCTGTGAGACCCTGTCTCAGGAGGTTCTGGAGATGAGAGGGGCCAATTTCAAATTTAAATTCACCGTCTGTTACCCACATGGTGGCTTGGTTTCCTTCTAAGGCCTAGGTGCCTGCCCTCTGCAAGTCAAGTTGAGCAAGACGAACTAGGGGCTTCTTGTAGTGGCAGTAGCGACGACTAGGTTAGCATGTGTCAACTTCCTTTGTATCGAAACGGAAAAGATAGATGCATTTTCCACAACTACACTATTCTAAAACCGGTTTGGCTATCCATGTATGTACCGGGACCTGGCAGAAACACATGACGGTTCATACAAATAAGTTCTCACTGGAGTCCCACCCAATACTAACGCCACCTTTTTAGTTAAGGACGACGTGGTCAGTTGTTGCGTTATTTTTAAGGCCTTAGAAAAAAGCATTCGCAATGTCAGCTGGCGGTGAGGAACTTTCGCATTTTTTTGCCAACAATAAAAAAAAAAGACAATTCTGAAAACCTATACCGCAACGGTAGCGGTATCCAGACACTTTTTTGCAGGATCAAATTCTTAACTGCATAGAAGTTTCACCGCAGAACTGAAAACGTTGGTGACAGCCATTACGTGGCCCATGCCACAGCTCTACTTGTGTTGCTTGTTGTTTATTCTTAGTATAATATATCGGTGGGAGGACACCGATACGCCGAAATGCCCAGCAACTGAGAAAAAAGCCAGAGAGGAGAAGTGCGCACAAGAAACATCTACTGAAAACCACCAGCTGTTACGCGCTCGAGCTTACACATCGAGTTGCCTGATCGAAACATCTCTAATGTTTCGTGTGTGTGTGTCTCGGTGGACACGTAGGTCTTGTATGATATGGAGATGGGTTACCGCGCCTATTGGCCTGGCGTGCCATATAGGACATATGTAGAACGCGTGAAGCGACCCGAGGGGCGTGCATTTCTAAACGGACGCAGGCAGAATGTCGTGAGGATCATGCACATAAACATGAGGATCTGCCACCCTCTGTAGCGTTTCGCCTGTCCACAATAGAGACGGTCAGCGGCTATCAAGTAAAAAGCTATAGACACCACTTGAAGCCGTGTCCAGCGATCCTCCTGAGGCGTCAGTTGTTGACGTTCTTGTTGTTGTTGAAGTGTCGAACACCAGTGTCGCAGTGTTACAATATAGAAAGGTCGACTCGGTCGAAATGCCGTGAACTTGCCTTATTTCGATGTTGGCACAAATTTGTGAATCTGTCAACACATTGAGAACGTTCTCTCTCTCTCTCTCTCTCTCTCTCTCTCTCTCTCTCTCTCTGAAGAGTTGAAAGTAAATGTATGGTAAGTAGTTACTTTCTAAAATTTAACAACATATAGCATTCTTTATATGGTTTGACAACTTTCTTCTTTGAAATACATATCTGCGTATGCTATATCTTGACCGTCAGCGTCTTAATGGCGTGGCCACTCATTCTATTGGAGTTGCTATCGGCATAGATCAATAAAACGGCATATATTCGAAACGAGTCACATATGTATCTACTGCAAGTAAGATTTTCTGCTAAGGTAATTTGAACTACACGATTTTGTTTCAGCTGGAGACACGAGGGAATAGCAAGACCCAATACGGAATCCTTTTTGGCTGCTACCCGTTTGTCGGTATGTTCACTGCGCCCATCGTTGGCAAATTGGTACGTTTCATTTTTTTTCCTAAGAAAAATTCAGCATCCGGCGAAATAAATTCGGCGAACCGCAATGCTACTGATTACCTTAATCATAAACTGGATTGTTCGTTCGTTGACTGAAGTTTTTGATAAACCCTGCAATTAGATCTACACCCATAGAGGCAAAGATTTTAAGATAGGTGTGGTGGGCAATTCATTACCATCTTACGCCTCAAAATTCACTTTTATTCGGCCAAATATGGAATCTAATTCAATCGTCAACGCCATCGAAGACTTCGGTATCCTACAGTGTGAAACTCACTCGTAATCCCTGTCGATTTTATTCAAATTTTGTAATAAAAAAAACAAAGAAAAAAAAAAAAAAAAAAAAAAAAAAGGTAATCACCAAATGCAAACGTTATAAAGCGCCTAAACGTCTCAGGGAGATGTTCTTCTATAGGTACATTATCGTCGGGGAGTGCGTTATTTACCCCGATGCAAACTATAGAAGGTGCGAGCGACGAGTAACATACATCACAATATAGAGACAATGAGATATTGTCACTTCGATCACAGAGTAGAATATCTACCGTCACTTTCGACGTAAGACTAGAGTAAAGCGTGCCCTGTACGCTGTAAATTATATCCTACTCAATCTTGATAATTTTAAAATTTCCCGCTGGAAACGATTAGGCATGATCTTATTTTTGATTAAAAGTATCCAAACAATTCCGACGCGCGGTCTTTCGAAGACAATGCTATTTCTAGACTAGTAGGCTATGAGATGATAAATGATTGTATCATTCGTGGACCTATATTCATATTTTCAGCTGGTGAGAACAATTCGAGCAAAGAACATGCTTGTTTGGGGAATGCTTCTAGACGCCCTGTTCACAATTGCCACTGGGTATGTTGCTCGGTCAAATTCAGTTATTATAGATAGTACGAGATCATTTCAATATACGTATGTTGGATTAGCTTGATCTTCGCCACCAATGGTTCCGCTAATGTGCTATTGTACTTTTGATATTTACAAATCGTCCGTTGTGATATCAGCTTTCTCACATGGATTGACGGCTACCCGTTTTTCTATTTCGGGCTATTGCTTCGGTCCCTGCAGTCGGTGGGGTTCTCGATGGCGTGCACCACGTTTTACGCAATTATCGGCGCTGAGCTTGGACCTTGGGCTCACATCTGCCTGGTAGGTTTTACAAATATTGCATACAATTGAATTGTCTACACAATCGTACAATGTCACACATTATATTCCTGTGTATATCTTTTCAACACGGGCGAGTAAACCCTCGTTGGCGAGTAAGCCAACGGGAACGTTTCAACTTCTAACAGCATTTTTTTTTGTTGTAATTTGTTTGTGTTTACGTAATAAAACGATGCTTGTTTATATGATCGTCATGCACGAGCCGGTGTTTAGGGTTGGATAGTTTTACATGCAATGTGTGCATTGTTATAGTACTGGCGTCAAATATTAGCTGACCCGACTGTCACATCGTTCTATATATGCCGCTTTGTACATAGTGAAAACATGGTACGGTATCATGTAGGTGAAAACTGAGAAGTTGTACAGGCTAAAGTTTTTCGTCATGATAACCTATCCTTAGTAGAGAAGTTACCTCAGCAGGTCATATCGCTGGCAAACTTCATAGAACATCCTTTCATACAGGCATCTTATGCGAAAAATTTGGCCAAAAGAGTATTCCCTTTTGAAGTGACATTTACATAAATTTTCACTTATTGGCTGTTTTGGATTTCCTCAACAGGCTTGAAAACTTGTCCACAGATATATATATATATATATATACAGAACGAGGGGTAAATCTCAAATTATAAAAACCCTAAGTAGATATAAAAAGTGCCTACATAAAGCTAAAGTTCAGTTATGCAAAAGCTTTCAAGCTTCCAGGGTCGACCCCAAACACGGCTTCATCGCTATTCCCGTAGGCGTCTTTCACAAGCGGCATATTTCCCTACGAACATTGCTATCATATACACAATATACATGACTTCATATCGATGGGAGAGTATTTACATAATGTACTCTGTCAGCTGAGAAGTTGAGGCAATGCAAAATGGGGACGCGCTAGCGGGTGTAATAGTAGACATTGTGTTGAGTATCTACGACATATTGATGACGAGTGAGAATCAACGGCAGTAGTGGCGGGCGTTGAGGGTGCCATCTTCGCTAGCCCCAACAGGAATTAGGGGCTGCTAGATACGCACATTCATGTGTCCTAACAAGAACCTGCTTATCTGGCAGAACGATCAACTGGGCGGCCATGTCTGTTTTTCCCCATTTGATTTGTGTAAGCCTATTTCGTCCTATTCCTAGACTAAGTGGTATATCCATGAGGGGTTAGTAGTACGCCGTGTCGGCAGAGAGCCCTGTGCAGCACTGCTATCAAAGGAGCGTCAGGCACCGGCTGTTCTAGCTTTTTTCACTGGAGTTTTCGTTTCAATTTCACTTTGGTGCTGGATAAACTATTGAATAAAAGAGTGTATTTTGTCTAATTGATAGAAATCATTGCGGGCTGGATTCAGAACTTTCGAATATACTATCTTACTTGCTCATTAGACAGTGTCAACCAATGAATGTAAGCATCTTATAGACGAAATCAAGCAAACTGATGGTACCGTATACAAGGTGCATCAGGTACGTCTGAGTGTGTTGTCCGTCCATGATGAATTACTCACACCGGTTGCAGCCAAGTTCTATTTATGAAAAGGATGTGACCAAACGATTAACGCCAGTTTTGAGTTAGCGGTCGACTGAATTCGTCAGCAGGAGATGTAGCCCAGTTGTCTATTGCCTTCAATGGAATTACTTCAAGAAAAGATGACGAGAAGTAAACGATGCTGAACACGACCATGTTGTTTTGATTGTGTCCGCGTCAGTCAAGTATCGTTCTACGTTAGCGTTAGCGTTACCATTCTTAGCTTAGCGATAAGCTGTGTTGTCGTTCTGACGACTAAACCTCTAAATCAGAAATGGCAAGATAACAATTTTAGATAAATAAGAAAATCGTTAACAATGCCGACAATGTGAACGTTGCAACTAATACATATAACCATATATATATATATATATATATATATATGTTCAACAATTGTTAGGATGCTAAAGGATATAATAGGGCTTATGCGATATCATATATGACCTGCGGTATAAAATTGCTATTTTTATTGACTTCAGTGAAGTAAAGATTACCGTTATCTCTGCTGTAGTATGTTAACTGATTTCTAATGGGTGGCTTTATGTAAATTTTCGTTATTTCTATGTTTATCTACTTTTGCTAATTTCAGCCAATTATCGAAACCATCTATGGAGCCAGTGTGGTAATAGGTCCAGCCATTGGCGGATTTATGTATGAGGTAGAGGTTACTGAAGCTTCATTTACTTCTGAGTATTTCTCTACTTTTATCTTTTTTTGCTATTCAATAGATTTTTTATAAATTGTAGCTATGACAAATTACGGGCTCTGAGCTTGTTTTTTTCGCACGTTAGCGCAGTCTTCGTGAAGTATCATATGTTTTCAAGATCGTATAAAAGGTAAAAGCAAATACATTTTTTTGAATGAATTCTTAATTAGAATATAATAAAGTAATAACTAGTTTAAACATTTGAGGTACATTTTACGTAAACTCTCTAATGCGTAAGAGGTTCCATGTCAATTAGCTGTTCTTTCGGTAATCACTGGGAGCGTATGTTGAAGTACTCGTATATTTTTCGGTTATTTCAGCGGGGAGGGTTCAAGTTACCGTTTTTCTTTCTCGGCATAAGCACCCTCATTACGACGTTCCTCATCATGGCTACATTCCCTGTCGTTCGTACGTGCTCCTTCTGTTGTTACCCTGATTATCATCTTATTATTAGTTTTTTTTTTTAATTTTTAGCTTGTTAATTCTTTGTGTCACTCATTTTTCAAATATATGGTTGAGATGAAGGATTATAAGTGATGCAAGTGCGCTTTGTTTGGTAGAATACTATTTTTAACATAGTCAATCGAAATACTGTGACTTTAATGTAATAGTACTGCTAATCGGTCGTCGTCGTTATATATGTACGGTTCTTCGTTAGCATTGATCCTTGTGAACAAACTTGTCAAGTTAGTTATATGTGTATTTTAGTTAAAATGTGTGTGGAGGGTCCCGAAATACTCTTTATCATATGCGAGCTTCGAATTTCAACAGTTTTATCAAAATTCCGTTAACTTACGTGCCATTTTTTCTTTCGTCTATTCGGGTGCATCAATTATTCAATTATGCTCATTCAGGTAAAGGTACACAAAGTTCACGCTTCCAGTCGAGCTGTCTACTGGATATCCGTATTATACTTAACTTGCTCATGGTAATGTCTACCTTCATTATTGTGGGCTTCAACGACGCCACCCTAGCACTTCATCTACGCCAGTTCGCCCTCTCCCCGACGATGACAGGCTTATCCTTTATCATTTGTGGAGGTTTCTATTCGGTGTCAAGCGTTTTCTGGGGCATTATGTGCAAGCGAGTCGTACGTATCCTAATATGCTTAATTGATGCTGCTGTTATTATTATCATTATATTTAATTTTCTTATAAATTTCATCATTACCTTTATCATGTGTCGTCGATTCGCAGAGGGACCCACGGTTCATCGTTCTGTGTGGGGCCGTCCTGACAAACATCGCTGTCGCCCTGGTCGGCCCGTTGCCTTTCATTACGGTAGAGGCCACTCTTACTCTCGTGCTCGTTATGCAAGCCTTCATGGGTACCGGCTACGGACCGTCGTTCGTGTGCTCTTTCATGCACAGTCTCCACGTCCTCACGTACGTAAGCATCTCAATTTTCTTATCCGCGATTTCGGTGCGCCATGAGTTTTTCTAGGACAACCTCGTTTATCTTCTTTCTATCCCTTTTCTTTCATTCGTAATACAAGCTTTATCGGACTACAGCTCAATTTTCGCCTCATTTAAACAGGTATTAAATCAGTGAGAATTTTGCAATTGCCACTATTCATCTTTAATGAAAACCCTAAAGTGTAGTGTAATCTCGACGGTCGATGATGAATGTATGTCATTCCTTGTTGTTGCCTACAGGACAGAAAAAGGATTACCGGATGATCTCGGCACGTACGCTATGCTCTCGGGCATCTTTATGCCAGCGTGTTTCTTCGGCAACGCTGTGGGCCCAGTGCTTGGGGGAATTCTGCTTGATTACTACGGCTATCGACACGCTACCTTGTTGATGTTTCTCATCGTTTTAGCAATGGTATGCTTTATACAAGTTGATGCCCTGTTGCAACTGCGTGCAGGACTTCGTCGGGATTTCATGTTATGTCCTACTATTTATTACATTTTACCTTGTTCCTTTGTTCATTGCAGTTGCTGTTGGTGTCTGCGTCTGTCATACACGACAATTGTATACGACCCAAGCGTACCGCAGATGAGAATAGAACTTAGAACAAGCGCGCTATAGTTAGCACCCAACAGGATGAACCAAAACATGGTTATGACAATAATTCAAACCTGTTAAGGAAACTTTTCGATTATCCTGTCATCAAAACGAATGGACCTATTTTCACTAACATGTGAAAAGGCCAGCTTAAACTACCGCTGGCTGATAACTAGCAAGTTGAGATTCAGACGTTCAAGCCGACAGGTAGATTGTCGAGATCTAGAACCCACTTTGCTTTAAGCTGGTCTTCCGAAGACGAGAGCAGACTGTATAGATGCAATGTCATAAGGCAAGCAACAACCAAGATTAGGCTGTTGTTTATCCTCCTTGCTTGCTACCTACTAGCATTTTGGTAAATTTTCATAGCCTACTCACGACGTACGTGGGAAAATAGAATGTTTAAGCGGACACACAACAGGTGCATTCGTTGTTGCCAACGCGAAAGAAACGCGCGTCCGTCCCTAGGTGAGATCAATACTATCCTAAATAAGTTCAACTTTAGTGAAAATAAGGAAGAACGCGATACAAAGCAACGCTTTTAACCGCATTCTCTACCCGATTCCTATCCACAATCGAGTGGAATCTCTTCGCGGTTTTCTTAAAACCCTATCAATTCTAACAAAATATAATCTTACAAATGCTCTTAACTATACAAAATTCCGCTCGCTCGAGAAACAGAAATATCGATAAATAAGTCGTTTGTGAGATTACATTAACTTTAACTAAATGCCTTCAAATTGTCAATAAGGATCCTATTTATTATAGCTAAATCAGTAGCTTGCAAAAGCAAGGACGACTTAGCAAGGCGAGGCCTAATCTATAGGGCCCAACCATATGTCGCAGCGGCTTGATTGCACTGAGTTAATGCCACCGTTTCTATCAAGAGTCAATTTATACGATGAACATTTGCGGACCCGATACGAAACGAAACTATAAATAATAAGTTGATACATTTAGATGAGATAGTTTCAGTATAACTTATTTGCGACAACCGGCCATAAGGCCTGATGTAAATAGACGTTAGAAATTAACCTAATGTCAGCAGATATGCGCCCCAATAAATATATAGATAGAACTAAATAGTGCTAATATGTATAGATACGATACTAGGCGTATTTTAACTCACTATAAAAAAAAAAACCGCATATTTTGGTTACGAACGTTTGTCTTCGATTTCATTAAATCGCCATTACCGCCCTGCATCGCGGGCGTCGACCCAAGCGTTTTGGGCATTTCTTCATTCGAGTTCGTCGCGATTCTGTCTGCAGTAGTATTTTAACAACAGTGTGCGTTATTTAGATGTTTTTTTTTTCTTTCAAATAACTAACACACTGCCTCGTCAGGACAACTATATTTTATTCTTTTTTCGTTTTTTGTCAAAGTTTTTTCACAAATTTCGTTCTAACATCGACTCGATTGGTGATTAACGGCGAGCATCATGCCAACTTCTACGAGTAGCTTAAACTGACCTCCGAATTCAACTACGAGAAAGTCAAAGCATCTAACTTGTTAAAGGGACCTGAAATTTGTACGTACGCGCTCATCGTCTGACCGCGATTTTCGTTGCATTTGTAATTTTCTCTTATCATCGCAGTTGCGCTTTTCTCTGATCGCCGATCGATGGCACACGCGCCAACTTAGGCAATAGTGATCTATTTATGGATTATCGCTACGATCACACCGGTTCCACAGATGATATTATCTCCCAGTTGGAAGCGACAGATCATTCTGCGCTCGTTTGTCCGCAGTAACCGCAGGCGAACTCGGCACCTCCACTTCTTCAAACGCTCTGTGAATGAAACACCGTCACGTCACTCGGTTTCGAAGTACCAAAAGAAACGCCTGCAATGATCAGTCACTTGGCACTTTTATAGTACTTCGTACTGCAGCAAATACTCGTCAGCCGTCTCGACCGCATATGAGATATAGTAGGCACCGACTATGTTAGGAAGATATTAGCGATTGCATAGTGGAAATTAATGTGAAGAATTGTCGACCGTTAACAACGATAGTTTTGCATTTGGTGAAATTTTGGCTCTAAGTAGATGTCAGAGGTCAGGATGAACTTGTCAGAAAATTTCGGTTAGAGATTCAATCAGATGTTTCAGAAGTTGAGTGATTTTTAAGCAATATGTATATATTTTTAACGAGTTCGATAATTGCTTTGGTTAAAATGGACTTTTTTTTTTAATCTAAAAATAGGAGTCAACAACGCTAAAATTTTTACTGAAGAAAAACACGATATTCTATTAAAGTTAACAACAATGAAGATTATGCTGAATGAAGACAATGAAGATATGCTCCTCTACTTGGTACCCTCAAAGTTTTGAAGTATACAAGGATGAGTAAAGCACTTGATTTATAACTGAAAAATAGAAGTGAGATGATTTATTGTCAATAAACTTTAGTGTTGAGCAAATCCTGAAGCGGGTAAATTATTTTCGATGGCTTCTTGTTTTAAGCGTAATAAGCGGAATTACAGTGCGAGAGTGGAAAAAAAAAGGTTGATTCTTGGTTCCTGCATACCCCCTGAAGGGGCGCCAATACGACTTCAGTTAGGAAATACAGATCCTCTCTCTGCTCTAGTGTTGGCTTACACGAAAACGATTTATTTAATTGGCATCAATCAGACAACATTTTCTATACTTACTAAGCAATCGAAGTAGCAAGTCTCAGAAATATTCCTCAAATGTGCCCCCAGTGCCTGTGCAAATAAAAAAAAATACTGCGTAATCAATAATCAAAGTTAGTTTTGATTTTTCCACGCAAGTCTCCTTACGTGCATATCTATCCGCTACTAGTACGCTTCTCATAGCGCTTAAGCTCACTCTTGCCGGGGTATGTATTATTTTAGACAACATGGCGTTGAACTTCTGTGTCGTCTACCAATCTGCTTTTTTGTGGTACTATGAATGCGAGAACGCGTAGAAGAGTCGTATTTTTCGCGAAGTTATTCAACATAGTTTCAGTTGTAGGTTATTCCTCATGAACCATACGCGACCGACCGCATAGCTACAGTATATCTCACCCTCATCTTAACTGAATGCATCGTATATAGTTGTTGATTTGTTCCTTTTGTATAGAGAAGCTCTGGATCTGGATAACTGAAAAAGCGAACAAGAAAGATATAGGACTGGATATAGGACTCTCTTCGCCCCATTCTTCCCATTGTGCGAGCAATCGTGATCAGAACCGTAGCTGACGAAAGACAACAGAGGAGGAGCGAAGGAAGGCCATGAAAAACGCATTATAATGGGTTAATTCCGCTCTCTGAGGCTCCGTGGCAAGCCACGAAGAACCGAAATGAAACGTAGAAATATTGTTTACCCTCATCGGATGCCCTGGCTCATCGAATGTGTGCCGTGGCGTTTGCAACACGTTGTTGACTCATTAGATATGTTCGGCGCGGTATCTATCGTCGACATCGCTATTTCACTGTTGTCTTCAGAAGCCTACAGTAACCTTTTCGCCAGTTAAACCTTAGTTTAGAGAGCGTCTCAGGCAAAGGTTACCTGGAGTAAATCCTGCTCGACTGCTTTCCGTCAACGAATCGAAATTGAAGACTAGCTTAACAGCCGCAATGGTGCATGGCAAGCAACGTTCAAAGCTTGCTTACTATCGATCGTATTGTATCGTATGTACGTAAACGGTATATCTGTCGATATGCGTCTGTGAACTTTTATAGTACTAGCAAGGCCAATGACTGTGTGTAGAAACGTCAAAGGACGTAAAAAGATCGTTTTAAGTGGTCCCGTTCTGCACTGGCCATCATATGCGGACTGAGGTACCAAACCATCGACATCACAATACCGTTATCCTGCCATATCAGAGCATGCTTCCGATAGGCCAAACTGCTCTGGTGTTCTGAGCATCGTTCTGCTCGCCAGTATCTACTTTTGACTAGAAGAGGCATCCGTGTGGAAGGTATTCGATGGTGCTATACTCAATTCGACTAAGACAGTTGACAGTTGTGTGGCTGACTACGTTACAAGCGTCACGTGTCCGAGGTGATAAACTTCCCCTGTTTTGCGTCGGTGGGAGGATAGAGTTTCGTATCCAGCCAGACTTGGCATACAGAGACGAGGTGAGTACTAAAAGAATTGGGCAATTTGTCACCGTTAGGAGGCGTTTTAGCTTCGCAGACCGGTGAGCAGCGAGCAGTCACAGCCATTATGGTTGGAAAAGACACACTGCGTATAATCGATAAAACGAGCCCTTATAGGCTTGACAAAACAATTTCGTCCGCGTTTCGAGGTCGAGTTTCGACCAGTTCAGTCTGCTACAATCCGGTGATCTTGAATGGGGTTAAGCGAAGACTCAAGCGAACCGGGCAGACATAGCAGACGCGGAAATGATTCTAGGTGAACAAAAATAAAATAATGGCCAAACGATTTATATTAAGATACTCTAAGCCTTCTATCTACCCAGTGCTGCTTTGCTTGGGTGATAGTGAATTTTGATAACGAAAAGCCATAGCAAATCAGAAATGTTCTTGTGAGAAAAAAATAAATAAGACAATTTTTTTTTATTCCTTTAATAAAATCCTCGGATCACAACTTTATGGAAGATTCAAAACACTTTAAATACGTACCCGCCCCCCGTTTTCACTGGTTACGTATACAGTGTATAAAGGTAGAACTAGCTACCTGACAGAAGGCAAACAGCGCAACTATTAATTGTCGCTAATATTTAACGGCTGCCAAAGGGAGAAAGATATGTTTTCCTGGTTGAAATATGTTCAGCTCGACGCGGCCCAAATAGGACAGGTGGAAAATTGTATTTCTTAAATAATCGGTCTCAAACCTTTGGTCCTGATGAAATCTCAACGAACCTGTCGCTACGCACCGAAAACGTACCATTCGATCAGCCTCGATACTGCGCCATGCAAATGAAATCAGACTAGCCGAGCGGACGGGCCATTTTCTCACTTTCAATCTGCTATGTAATCTCTGTTTTTGGTCAACCCAACATCCCAGCTGAAAAAGATGGATGAATGGCCCGCTTCGAGGTCACCGTGTGGGTAGAAAGCGTTTGTGGCTGAACGAGAAAAAAGCAATTAGTCACTCGCTAGCGCACGCCTGCTGTCAACGTGATAAACAGCGTTGATATTTAGTAACATTCCGAAAAAAGTGAGCTTTAAAATAGCCATAATGAATAGAAAAGCGTGTGCCTGAGCGAAGGGAAACTCTTGGCAGACCCGTTAATACACCTACGTTTGAGGACGTGTGCTATATAGCTTACTAAGGCTCATCAGAAAAATGCATGTTGATGTCTTGTATTATTTTGCAGTAACGAAAAGCCCTAACAAAGCTACTCAACGGGAACGTCTCTATTCAAGATTTTTCAAACGTGACAAAGACGACTAAATAAATGTGTTCAAAGGCGAACTTCTATACTAGAACCGATAATATATGGCTCATAAACTGGATTTAGTCGCAGGATTTGAAAACAAACCTCGTGTATACATATTGCCGCAAAGGCATATGCGTATCATTTTGAAGCACGACATATTTATTTCATAGTATTTAAAAAAAAGTATGTCTGTTTTTATTAAACATATGCATGTGTGTATACGTGTATATATCAGTGCCATGTCTAGAGAAATCAACTACGTAAGATATGCTTGGCTGGAAAGTACCGATTTTGCATGACAACTGCACGTCTATTTACACACGTAGACATCCGCATTGTATACCAAAGTGTACGCTGTACTTTCCAATGGTGTCGTTGTTTTGGCAGGAGGCAGGAACGAAGATTGCAGTATGACTTCCTTGCAGGTTCAGGCAAAGCTTGCATATTGACCTTTAAATGAGTGTTACCAAATGAGCTATGCGGTCTAATGGCTTCCAGAGCCTAGCACGTCAAGAGGACCGTGCAGCTACCTCGACATAGATGTCGAGAACAGGCCCTTTTCTGCCTGCCATTGATGCCTCGCTTATTTTTCAACATTCGTCAGTTTGTTTACTTTCACTAGCATCGATTCGGAACACCTCGACCTGAAATTTACCTGAAATCGTTACGTCCTAGAAAATATCTTTCCTCATCTATATTCTTTTCGGCAATAGAGATACCTCTGCTCTGATAGCATGAATGATATCACTATCTTTTCATTATTCTTTTAGTTAGTTTTGCTTTGCGTCGAACATCCTATTATGTATTTTTATATGTTGAGCTTTGATCGTGCGCTCAGAAATCGATCATAGCGCTACCCAGTATCTCATTTGATGTATTTTTGCTTCCTTTGGACACCGTATTGTAATTGTTGAGTTAGATTCACGGGTCCTTTGAGGACACCGAAATGGCGGGCATTCAATGGCGATCTTTCCTTGTCCCTTGGGTCAGCAAATTCGTAGCGAGGGTCCAATGACAAAAGTCTTATGGTACTATAGTGAATGCCATCAGCCTCGTGGCTGTCTGCCCCTCTTTTATAGTTTTGGTATTTGCCGATTGGGTCGGCAAATCTAAGCTATAAAAAGACGGAACACAGCATTGTATAAATGCACCACAGCGCACGTGTTAGCAAAATCGATGCGTCTTTTAGAGTCGAGGTGGGGCTGTCCGGTTTTGCACATCAATGCAAAATGGGTAAATATCAACTCCCATATCCATTTGGCCCTTTACATTGTTCCTCGTCATAGCAAAGTAATGCAACTGAAAGGAAAATGGGCACATCCTCTTTTTGTTGATCAGGCTACCACTTTTGCGACTACCGACTCGGCCGATCAGGTGAGAACTGGGCAAAAAGTTTTGCTTAGACCCAATTTTTTTCATGTTTTTCGTTGCTGATCCTTATCTGATTGACGGTGGTTTTGAGAAAATGTTTCACCGCCGCTGTCCTTTTTTCTTCTTTTTTAAGTGAGAAGGCATCGAATAATTGCACGCGTTTGGTTTGCGTGCTCGTACAACTGATGCATATGGAGTCCACTAGCCGCTATGTGATCCCATTGATAGAAACTAATATTCTTACGGGTATATGGCGTATAAGAAAGCCTCGTCATCTCGAGAGATTGTGCTTTCCAACCAGCGGAACCTGTTCCCTGTCTCCTGCAGTTTCGGTCAAGCGCCTAACCAATAAATGATTATTCCTTACCTAGTCACCGAAAGGGCTGAACCGCTTTCGGCGACTAAGTAAAAAATTTAACGAGTTTAGCATAAAAATTGGTGAGTAAGCATGAACCGCACAAAAATAACAAGCAGGAAGAAAAAAAGAATTTAAAAAAATCTACATTTCCTCATATATATCTTGTTGTATCAGTTAATATGAATCGTTCAGTGAGTGCGAACAAAAACAAATCTAAAAACATAAAAAAATATCCCCAAAGTCTCTTATCTGGCACCAGCGGTCCTCTCCCTGCTCTTTTATCGCCTTGTTCTCATCTATTCCTACTTCATAGCGATCTATTCCACGAAATAGGTCTATGTATAACGTATTGTCTAACGCACATATCGGTCGTGTAAGTTTCTCGTATCGAAGCTACGTACAGTCCTCCTTGGATATCAGCAGAATTCGTAGTTCGACAAACTGGGGAAATAGGAAGGCGCAGATTCTCCTTCAATCAGCTTTGAGCGAGCATTTTACCTTCATCACTTCACATTGTCTGCCAGCATCGGCATGTCCTCCTATTCAGTCTTTGCGAGGTAATCACT